CTTTGTCTGTGTTTGTGAGTGCTGGTGTGAGCATGTGATTACTTGCGAGCTTTTAGCATTACTTCCGTTGGGAAAAAATCTATTTGCAGGTAGACTTGAGTTGACTCGATCATTGATATTTTAGACTTTGGATTTATGTGTTACATGTATTTATATGTTAGTTAGTTAGTGTGTGTGTGTCTGTGTGTTGTGTGTCTGACAGTCTTCACTTCCACATTAATATTAACTGACACTTTAATTTGGATGGGAAATAGAGCATTTTACCGCCAGTTTGTCTGAGTATCGGGTGGCGCGGATGGCTGTGTGACCTTTGCCTGTGTTTGTGTGTGTATGTGTGTGCGCGTGTGTGTGTTTGTCTATCAGCCTGTCTTCGTGTCCCTCTCTCAGCATCCTCTTTGCCTGTTTTTTTTCCGTTTCCTTGCCAACCCACACCTCTCCTTCCCAACACCCTCTTTAAACCCTCTTTCAATCTCATCTCATTTCTGCTGTTTTCTATGTAATTAAGGCCGCTTCCTTCCATATAACCTATTCATTAAGATAAAAAACAACATTCTCTTCCCCAGTTTTTATACTTTATTGTTTCCATCAAACTAAGTCTGACATCATCCTTCCATATGACCACTAAATGTGGTTGTGTTTATTCGCTTCCTCTATCTTTCATCATCGCCTGAATCCCAGCAACACTCTTCTCCTTTTTCTCGTCTTTTCATCACTTGAAGAGATGTGGCTCTGATTACTCCTCTCATCACTCCCATCTCCCAATCAGAGGAGGAGAGGGGGAATTATTTCGGATGACATCATTAACAACACATATACATAAACAAGCCAAAGCAAAGCACTCCGACACGTTCAGCTCTCTGAACATTGATACGAACTGTATCAGTAGAACTGTAACAGAGACAAACTTAGACTCACATATACAAACTTATACAATACCGGCTGATTGTGTGTGTTTGTAGGAGACCGTCCTCATCAGTAAAATGACATAATCGTCCATTTGTCCAAG